GTGTTTGGCACCAAAATGCAGGATTTGCTTGCCAAACAGCGTTACTTCTTGGTGAGTGTCAGTGTAAAAGTTCTGTTACCGTCTTCAATTTCCTGTTACTAGGAAGTTTTTAAAAATAAGGTTGCCAAAAAAATGTTGTGCAAAAGACAAAAAGTTAAATACCTTCATCCCACTATAAAATACTACGAGCTAAAATCTGATGAAGAATATTTCTTGGTGCTGTTCTCAGGATGCTACGGGAAATGGATCTTATGAGATCTTTAGTGGTAGTGTTTATCTTTTGCTCTTGTGCCTAAAATTGTCCAACAGAAAGTTCATTCTTGTTTGAATGCTCAGTTGAGTTTTTTTTTTTGTTTATTTATAATTTGATTTAATTGCACGGTGACAAAGAACACTGTCAGGTCTTCATTCATGGGCAGTTATTTACTATTTGAGTGTGAGTGAGTGAGATGGTGGCAGCTGCATCTAAGCCAAAATATATCAGCTGTTAGTTCTTTGTCTCATAATTGGCACAATAGTGTATTGACACTGCCATGTTAATTGAGTGCCACCCACCTTGTCCCAGTGCATGTCAGAGCTGTTGGGTTTAACCTTTCTGGTGGGAATCCAGCAAAAAGACTGTCAGCTTTTCCCACTAACCAAAAGCATTCCTCTGACATTGAGTCACACGTGTAAATGGAAGGTTCACGCATGACGAACCGTTATAGCTTTATTCACAAATTTCTAATCCCCCCAGGTTGGGGCTGGTGCCATTGGTTGTGAGCTGCTGAAAAACTTTGCCATGATTGGACTGGCTACTGGGGAGGGAGAGGTCATCGTGACCGACATGGACACCATAGAAAAATCGAACCTCAACAGGCAGTTCCTCTTCAGACCTTGGGATGTCACGGTCTGTATCATCTTAACTCGTTTGATGAACTCTATTGATCGATGTTTCCGCTCTTTATGGCTTTCCTGTAACACCGAAGTGCACTTATAGATTATGTTTTGTATGTTGATAGAGGCAATTTAAAATTCATTGTGTGTGTGTTCGTGTTCTTAAAGTTTAAAAAGTCAAAGCAAATTTACCAGCTCCTAACAAACTGAGACTTGAGAGCAGCTTTGTACCTGTAGTATCACTGGACTACTAAATGCTAGTATGCACTATCAGTTAATCTGAGGTTATCTGATGCCCAAAAGAAACTGATAGGAGGAACCCTCACCTGACGTAAGCTGTTGGACACCAATATTTTTAAAGGAGTGCACATTTTGTTGTGTCCCTGGAAAAGAAAGCGTTGATGTGGACAGCAGTGACCTCTGTACAGAATGTCTCTGATCTTTGTTCTTTTGGTCACCTATGATAATGTTATTAGTGAGTTGAATGTTTAGTGTGTGTGTTAACAGAAAATGAAGAGTGACACGGCTGCTGCTGCAGTGAAACTGATGAACCCGGCAATCAAGATCACAGGTCACCAGAACAGAGTGGGCCCTGACACAGAAAGGATCTACGATGACGACTTCTTTGAAAGCCTCGATGGAGTTGCCAATGCACTGGACAACGTTGATGCACGTAAGAGATAATGAGACATTAAGAATAACTGCTTAATAACTAGGGGAACAATGGATTCAGTAAAAAATGTGCGTTTTCCTCTAATGTTCAGGGATGTATATGGATCGGAGGTGTGTGTACTATCGTAAACCCTTACTGGAATCAGGCACTCTGGGTACCAAAGGCAATGTCCAGGTTGTGATCCCTTTCCTCACCGAGTCCTACAGCTCCAGTCAAGATCCACCTGAGAAGTCCATCCCCATCTGCACCCTCAAAAACTTCCCAAATGCCATTGAACACACGCTGCAGGTTAGTATATACACAGAGAGAGTCTCAGTGAGATTTGCCAGGCAGGATCAAATCTGACGCTTGGAGTCAGCGAAGCCCACAAACTAGTATGGAACAGCCATACAGAAACCTTTATGTTAATCTTTACTCTAAAAGGCTCCACCTGGTGCACCAACTACACAATGCACAAGTGTAATACATGAGTTAATCACTTCAGCACTAAATGCTTCAGAGAATTTTATTGCATTACCTGTTTCTTCATATACTTTATATCTTCATATAGGTTTTTGTTTTTAAACAGCACTGTGTGTGGTTAGTGTGTCACAGTGTGGAAATATTGTAGGTTTACCAAATATTTTGTACTTCTGTTATTAACTGCTGTGGTTCCTTCTGTGCAGTGGGCCCGCGATGAGTTCGAGGGACTATTCAAACAACCCCCAGAAAATGCCATGCAGTACCTCACGTATGTCGCTTTTCCTTGTTATTCTATCACCTGTCAGCATTATACTGATTTATATGCTGGGCTCCTTTATCATAGAAATTCTTCATTGATAAAATTACTTTTCATTAGTGGACAAATTTCCTTATAATTTAGTCTTTAGTGTTTGTGGATTGTTGGTAATTCAGTACTTATAAACTTGTATAACTTGCCTTTCAACTAAAAATCAATCTTGTAAATGTCACCGCCCCCTCTTGGTTCTCGTGGCACCGTTGAGCTGTCTCACCCCAACCGGTCGCAGCAGATGGCCGCCCCTCCCTGAGCCTGGTTCTGCCGGAGGTTTCTTCCTGTTAAAAGGGAGTTTTTCCTTCCCACTGTCGCCAAAGTGCTTGCTCATAGGGGGTCATATGATTGTTGGGCTTTTCTCTGTATCTATGAAGCGCCTTGAGGCGACATTTGTTGTGATTTGGCGCTATATAAATAAAATTGAATTGAATTGAATTCTTGTAACATCTAACCCAAACCTCATGCTCGAAATTTATAAAATCAGCCTGCAGAGTAAATGGTTTAAAAAAAGATGACGGCTCTTCACATCGTGGAAACTAGTCAATGAGGTTTATAATTTCCGTTCTTGCAGAGATCCCAAGTTCATGGAGCGTACTCTGAAGCTTCCAGGAGCTCAGCCTGCGGAGGTGCTGGAGGCTCTTTATAAGAGTATTGTCACAGATTGCCCCCAAAACTGGGCTGACTGCGTAGCTTGGGCTCGCAACCACTGGCAGTGTCAATACAGCAACAACATCCGCCAGCTACTGCACAACTTCCCACCAGATCAGGTACAAAGTGAAGGTGCTACGAGATGAATATCAGTTTGATCTGTTTCACCCGTCTTACCAGCTGTTTGCAGCTATAGTTGCATTGGTGGTATTTATTTCAGCAACAAGAAAAGTGTCATTTTTCATACAGTATTAGAATATTTTAACTTATTCAACAGATTACATGAAAATGTAACTTCTGCAATGGCCGCACGTTATGTCTGCAAACCTTCTGTTTTTGAGCTCTGCAGGTCGGCTCAGTGACACCAAATGTAGCGAGAGATGCTGCTGCGTGTTACAGCATGTGTTAGCACAGAGTAGCATAGCAGCTGATAATCTGATTTAGCTTATAGCATGAAAGTTGTCACAAACATGGTAAACCATACTCGGACCGTGATACTGGTTTTGAACATTTCTAAAATCGTTCGATGGCAGAAAAATGATTTTAGTAAGTCACAAAAACATTGTCATGATTAAGAGACTTTTTACATAAAAGTAAACTACTTTACACTCTTGTGTAAAGACAGTTTGGGGCTTCCTGTTTACTTATTCATGCCAGTTTGTACATCTCATTTCCCCTGAAAAGCCATTTATAGATGGTGGGCATACATTAGAAACAGCAGAAATTACAAACGGCAGTTTGAGGTGCTGCGTATCTATTGCACGAAAGGCTGCCTAGTGGCTCAGTCAGCAGCACTGACGCTGAACCACAAAACCCTAGTTTGCATCTGTAGTTTCTCACCCCCCTTCCTGTCATTTATCCACGGTTTCCTGTTTAATAAATATGCAATTGACACAAAAATGACAAAATGGACATGAAAGGTTTCCATTATAGCACTTCTACATTTATCATCTGTCTTTTAGCTCACTAGTTCCGGTGCTCCCTTCTGGTCTGGTCCAAAGCGATGTCCTCACCCATTAGAATTCAGCACTAGCAATGTAAGTATGCCGCTGTCAATTATAAGCTTAATATTACCTGAGTCTAGTCCAGCCAGGCTCAAACTAGTGAATGTTCTTGTTTTCAGGAGCTGCATATGGACTATGTTGTGGCAGCAGCCAACCTGTTTGCTCAAACGTACGGCCTGCAGGGCAGCACCGATCGTGCAGGTGTGATCAAGATCTTGCAGGATGTCAAGGTGCCCCCTTTCACCCCACGTTCAGGAGTTAAAATCCACGTCTCTGATCAGGAACTGCAAAATAACAATTCCTCTATTGGTATGTTCACATGTGGTTGTGCAATAAAGCATATTTTGGGGGGGATGTTACATCAGCTAAGAGTTGTTTGTGAATCATGACTGAGTCATGTGTCATTGTGGATGCTTTGACAGTAATGCAACCATTGATCTTGTGATTATGCAGATGATACCAAACTGGAAGAGCTGAAAGCCATGTTGCCTTCACCAGAGTCCTTCCAGTTCAAACTCACCTCCATTGACTTTGAAAAGGTAAGGCATCTCCTTTTGTCAGCTTTAATGAAAATAAATAACATTTTTTTAATTTATTACAGTTGCCAGTAGCAAAGCTGGTCAGTGGCATTGAGGACTTTGTTCTTTTTATCTGAAAGATTCAATAAAACGCAGCATCTGGCTTTGCAGTGAGGCCAAACCTAGTCTGTTAATAATAATGAGAGTAAGAAAGTATTGTTTCCATAGCTTTCAAGACTAACTCTGCTTAGATGCCTTTAAGTGGTGCACTGCCAAAACATTGTAACCCTCACGCTAGAATTTCAACCTATTAATTTAACTTTAATCAACACTACTGGTACTTTTGGTTTGTAATGGCCGTGGCCTATATGTTAATAGGATGATGACACCAACTTTCACATGGACTTCATCGTGGCAGCCTCCAACCTGAGAGCAGAGAACTATGACATCCCTCCCACAGACAGGCACAAGGTAAGACAACAGACGTAGCTGCTCTCACACTGGTATTATTGGAAAATGTGCCTGCTAATGGTATTCGTTTTGTAACAGTAATGAAAAACATTTGAGAGTGCAAAAAACAAACAACTTCAACTCAACCTCAGAAATTTACATTTACTTTTCTCTCTATATATAAAAAAAAAGTGGGAGATGTTTGTGGTGGTGGTTGGTTTTTGGTTGGTTTTCCTTCATCACTGTCCTTTTAATCACCAAACAGAGCAAACTGATAGCTGGTAAGATCATCCCTGCTATCGCCACTACCACAGCAGCAGTTGTCGGCCTGGTGTGCTTGGAGCTCTTCAAGATTATCAAAGGACACAAGAAGCTGGAGTCCTACAAAAATGGCTTCATGAACTTGGCCCTGCCTTTCTTTGCCTTCTCTGAACCCATTGCTGCTCCGAAACACAAGGTAAGCAAATACGTTACCACTTGCTGAGATTTTAAAAAGATGTGCACGATGTCTGCGTTGTAGAGAAATGTTTAACTCCAGTATAATAAACTCCTGTGATGATTCAGCCATGCTAATACTGATGCACCAGTCAGATGCATTCTGCACTGCCTGGGTGTAAGTGAGTTCAGCTCGTCTTCTCACACTGATGGCATCAGTGTGTGCTGAGGAGAAATTTTAATGTAATAACTGGTTATCTTATTGAGCTTATAATTAATATTTCTTAAATAAATGTGTATATACTTAAAATACATTGTTGCTGTTTTCACAGTACTATGAAATTGACTGGACGCTGTGGGATCGCTTTGAGGTCACAGGACTGCAGCCCAATGGGGAAGAAATGACACTCCGACAGTTTCTGGATTACTTTAAAGTATGTTGAGCTCCTGGTTTGTTTTGTTTTTCTCCACACTGACATGTTCTTGGCATTCAATGAACCACTGTCTGTTTCTGTTCTTTATTAGAACGAGCATAAGTTGGAGATCACCATGCTTTCTCAGGGAGTGTCCATGTTGTATTCATTTTTCATGCCTGCTGCCAAACTTAAAGAGAGACTGGACCTACCGTGAGTGCACGTGCATACACCTGCTTCCTTGTTTGCATGCTGGAGTTTTAAAGTTTGTATTCACTGGTTTTCTTTGTGTCCTGCAGTATGACGGAGATTGTGACAAAGGTGTCCAAAAAGAAGCTGGGCAAACACGTGAAAGCCCTGGTGTTTGAGCTATGCTGTAACGACCTTTCAGACGAGGACGTGGAAGTGCCCTATGTCAGATACACCATCCGCTGAGCTCCGCACTGAGCCCACCCGCAGGAGGGTGGGAGTTACAGGGGGGAGATGGGGATGGGGGTGTTCTAAGTGAGGAGCTAAAATGGGGATGGGGGTGCGTGGGTTGATCCAGGTTGGCTGTATTGGATCAATCAGTATTTTTTTAGGCCTGTGGTTTGTGTAAACCTGTGCCTGAGTGTACATAGCCCCAGTAAGCTGAATTAAGAATAACTGTATATGTTAAGAATCCAGTTGGTTCTTGGCTGTGGGAACAGGGGTGTCACTGGAGGAAGGGAGCACGTACACTGGACATCCTGATGTTTCTCAAAAGCAAAATTGATAAGCCTTAGTGGTCTCTTGGTACTCCATATCCAACCAGTGTCCCTAAAAACATCTCTTATTGGCCTTCAGCAGTAATGGAGGTTTTTGTTTTTTAATCGAATCCACCTTCTTCCCTCCACTATACTTGCTCTCTCCCTCTTCCAGCCTCTGTCTCATAGACACAGTCCCACATTAGTTTCTTTTGTTTTGTTTTTTCTTAACATATGCACCTAATTAATATGTAAAAGGTCAGCCCAGGAGACACCAATAAGCCCAAGCCTTTCCTGACTGGATATCTGACGATCTCACACCACCTGAATACCCCTGCCAGTGTGAGGTACCCCTACACCCTCATTAAACCCACTCTGTGGCTTTGGGAGGGGTTCATGCACATGACATTGGTTTTCTCTTTCTCTTTATATTTTATGTGTTTTGTTATTTTCTATTTTATTTTTTGGGGTGGTTGGACAGAGTTTTGGCACACACACGTGGTAGATCCTAAACTGTCTTTCTACTTTGTTAACTCCAAATGACTTAACTGTAAGAACAGGGCAACGAGATGTATCTTGAAACGGGAGCACTTAGTGTGATAGTGAATAAAGATGTAAAAACATACTGAAGAAGATTGTGTGGTTATTTTTGACACACACACACACACACACACTGACCGTTTCCAACTGACTCAGTTTGACATGTGGTTAAATTTCAGCGTCATTCAACTATGTTAAAGTGTCAGAGGTTTGTTTTTCCTGTCTGACCTGCTTCGTGTTAATGAGAAGTTTCATTATTAAACACATCCGGGAAATGCTGCCTGAATACCAAGATACCAAACGACAGTGAAGAGTAATCAGATTTCTTTTTTTCTTCCCCTTTTACTCCGGCGTTAAAGTAAATCATCTGTGATGGCGTTTTGAATTTATAAATGTAGGCAAAGGATAATTTTATATTTTACTAATCTCACACAGGAGGAAGTATGTCGTACTTTAGTGTGCGAAGTGCTTAGTTTAAATGCATGTTTGATAAGTTTTGCGTAAGGCTTTGAACGCTCCTCCCTGACGAGCGGATACGTGAATGTGTGCAACTCTAAAGGATGTGGTCGACTGTGAGATGAGGAAGAAAGTGAGGAGGAAGGAGTACACTGAACTCTCAACACGCTTCCTGCAAACAACTCGCTGTAAACGACCCAAACAAAGACAGGACGGGTGTAAATTTGGATTATTTGACAGTTTGTGATTTTGAGAACGTGTCATGATTCGGTAAAGATGCACTGAAGAGAGAAACGATGGAAGTGGAGGAGACTGGTGACAAAAGGACTTCCTGGTACGATACCTTTTGCATTTATTTTGCTTCCACCTTGGGCTGCTCTGTTACAAATTGGTGCTGAAAAATATCCGTGTTTAATCGTACTTCGTGTTCTAAGTGTAAATTTTCTGTTTGTCACCAGCACGATTAAAAAAACTCATGTTACATATTTGTGCGACGTTGTGGAACAAAAACTCATTTTAATGTACTTTGCTAGAGCGCGGCGCATAAACAAGTCGTTTGAATGTACACTGCCTACTTAAGTGTTATTTTGAATGTATCACACAATAAGATAATTCCCTGTATGAGTGTTTAATTTGTGCCCAGTAAGAGCGTTTCTTCTTTTCAGGTCCGGCGTGCCAGCAGAGGGACACTCAGTCCTCTGTGATCATGCAGGGGTAAGCTGCGGCTTTGGTTCTTGCACCTTCTTTTTCCTGCATTAAAAACTAACGTTTAAAAAAATGAATTATTGTCCTAAAAACAAGTCCAAGAAACTGACTTTCATACACTGCTGTCTTTAGAAGAAGAGAAAACAAGACCCTGAACCTGTGATCAGAATCTCAGAGGTGAGTAAGAGACTGAGACGCATCGATGCTGCTTCATGTTCGTTTCTCTGTTTCTCTGTAACGAGCGGAAGTTAGTCAACCTTACCTTTGTGACCACAATGCTGAGTGCAGAACTGACTGATGTGAGCGTTCAGCTTTGCAAACATGGACGTTTCTGCGAGTCTATAAATCGAGTTTGTCTCATTTTCTTAAATTCCAGCTCATGTCGGTTTATTTTCACCTTTCAGGTATTTTTTTTTTTTTTTGCCAGCTGTACATCACAACATCCATACAATCCGAGGCTTTTTATTCACGCTGTTAAAGCGTTGCTTGAAATTAATGCACAGCTGATGTGGTTAGTGTGGCAAAAAGAAAGAGGCAGACATCTTGTTATTTCACTATAGAGGCACACTTTCAACCTTCTTCCTCTTTGAAAGACACACAGGAAATGAGAGATCTGCACCATGCAACATCTCGCCTCTCACCATCTTTGTCTTTCCACTTTCCTGAACTCACGTGTACCTCGAGTTGAGTTTTAACATTTTAACATGTTTCAGGACGAGGAGGGCGAGGATGAGTGTGAGATGACGTCTGACCTGAAGGAATCGGAGGTGAGGTGTTCAGTTAGGTTTGAATGAATGAACCGCAGCTTGTAGACTAGTTTGTGCAGATCTTAAAAATGTTTTTTGCTCACTTCAGGAGCCCAGTAACAAGAGGGTAAAACCTGTGGCAAAGTCCAACAGCCTGACCGGCGTCTTAAACCCTGTGAAGACCCCTGCTCTGAAGCGCATCGGCCAGTCTATTTCGGTAACAAACACACTCCAGTCACACAAAGTGACCAGTGAATGAGTTTTGGGGTTTCTGTATAACGGTCAGCTGCTCCTCTCTGTTCACAGCGGTCTATTAGTTTTCGTACAGAAGCTCGACCTTTGCCCACAGCCCCCCTGCGTTCACGGACAAAGGCCTCCTCGTTTCCACGTCGCCGCAACAGCCAGTGTTGGAGTGACACCGTGGAAAGTCACGATCTGACCGCAAAGGAAATCAAACGGCAAGAGGTGTGCTAAACAAAAACCTGTTATTAAAATACCTCGTTACTGTAGCAGAATATGTTCGGGGGGCCTGTATATGGGTCAAGTTGTGTGGCTGTGGTTGCAGTGTGGGCGGAGTCACTTGTACCTACTCTTCGTTTCTGTGAAGCTGCTCTTCATGGGTATTATGAAAGAGGATGTGAGCTGGCACTGAAGGCTCAACTTCCTTTATTGAACAATCAGCTGTGAGAGCTGGTGTTGTCTATTTAACTGACTTCTTATGCAACTCAACACACTGTGTGTGTGTGTGTGTGTGTGTGTGTGTGTGTGTGCGCGCGCTGATATCTTTGTTGTCACACTGGCAATAACGTGCGCATTCGCTAACTGTTTTAAATGCCCTGCAGGTCATCTACGAGCTCACCCAGGGAGAGAGACAGCTCATCGAGGACCTCAGTTTGGTTAAGAAGGTATCTGCTCACCGAAAGGCTCAACAAAGTCTTTAATCTGCTCACCTGCAGGCTTTTATATGCTAAACGCCCCGCGTCTGTTCCCAGGTGTACTACGAGCCCATGCTGAAGTTGGACATAATGACAGAGAGTGAGCTTGGGCAGATCTTCGGGACTCTGGACTCACTCATCCCCCTCCATCAAGGTAACTTTGTTTTGTGCAGCTTGTGCTGCTATCTCGAGCTGCACTCATGCATCAACACACCAGCTCATTTCCTGAATGTGAAGCAATGAGGTGAAGTCTTGATAAAGTATAGGTTGTTGCACTTCAGTGTGATTACATCACAATCTGAAATAGTTACAAGTAAACAGGAGCAGGTAAAGTAGTTTTACTCATACCATGTATTAACTGTTATGTAGGTATAATTTGAATTAAAGGCTCTTTAAAAATAGATAAATAAAAACGTCTTCACTGCCCTGAAAAGAAACAATAAAATGGGAAGTTGTATTTATTTATTTATTTTTAGCAGTGCTGTATTTTTATGCACACTACTTGTTTTTGAGCTGTAGTAATAGTGAAATAAGGTCAGCACAACTTGAGTATCCTGTTTTCTTTGAATTCATATCAGATCTGCTGACTCGTCTTGAGCGCCTGAGAGGATCAGAGAAAACGGTTGGAGAGGTGGGGCCGACTTTAATGAACTGGGTGAGTCTCTGAGAGAAGAAAGATCAACCTTCAGCTTCTCTGGTTTTCCTTCTTAATCTTAACGTCATCTAAGCTCTGTCTTCATGTTTTCATCTTTCTTTCCCCCTGACTTCACCTTCTTATCTCACTGCTGCGCTCTCGTCCCATGTTTCTCTGCAGTTTCCTTGCCTGGAGGCGTATGTTACATACTGCTGTAACCAGGTGGGAGCCAAAGCTTTGCTGGACCAGAAGAAGCACGAGAAAAGAGTGGAGCACTTTCTGCGTCTGTGTCAGGAGTCCTCGTTCAGCAGGAAACTGGACCTGTGGAACTTCCTGGATCTCCCTCGGAGCCGTTTGGTCAAGTACCCTCTGCTGTTGAAGGAGATACAGAAGTGCACTCCGCCAGACCACCCCGATGAAGACACGCTGCCGGACGCTGTGAGTTGGGCTCCTGCACAATCATTTACATCTGCAAGCATGTGAGAGAAATCACAGTTTAATCAGTGCCAGTCTGCAGCTGCAAAATACTGATCTCCACGTTATCAGGATGGTTGTAAGGTGTTGCTTTTAAATATAAAGCCTCTTTTTTTGTTGCATCACATGCTGTAAATCCAAATTATTAGGTTGCATATTCACACATTTCTATCAGTCTTCAAGTTAAAATACAGTATTTCCTTTTCTGCGTTGCACAGCAGCGCCTCCAGAGGGCAACAAGGCCAATTATTAATGTTTACCAGTATATTCACTAATCTGGCTCATCACGTTCACATTCACAGTTTGCAAAAGCAAATAAACACATGACTCAGTTCAGCAGTTAGTTCTGCATTTAAGATGCCTGCAGACTCTTTAAGGTTTCCTTTGATGGGGTTTGATGGAGGATACTGTTGACTGAACAAATGATGACACCAAACCACTTAAAACACGTTTAAATATGTTCTAAATATTCATAGTCAGACTCTTTTGGCTCCAGCCCAGAATTGTAGCCCTACAAGAAGGCAACAGGAGGAAAAGGACCCTGTGTTGATGACATGTTAAAACGTCTTGGTTGTGTTCAGTTGGAGTTGATCCAGAGCATCGTGGCGGAGGTGAATAAGAAGACGGGGGAAGCAGAGTGTCAGTTCTACAGGCGCGGCCTTTCCTACCTCGAAGAGGGCCAGAGAGTGCCAGAGATCCAGCAGTCCCGCTTCCTGTACTGCCACGGAGAACTCAAGAACAATAAGGGCCAGGTAGATGTTGTTTATTGGTCTTCACACTTTCATAATTTAAATGAAGATGCTAGAGTCATTTAAGAAGGGCAGGAGATGTTGGCTATTCAGATTCGAGAGCTCGAAAGTTTGCTCCTCTGCCTCAGAAACTGTGTCAGCTGTTTGCACATTTCTCCTGATCACTTGTCTCTGTCAGCGGCTGCATGTGTTCCTGTTCGAGCTGGTGTTGGTGCTGACGAGACCAGGAGAGGACAAGGACGGCGGTCAGGTGTTTAATGTGTACCGGCAGCCTCTGCCCAATGCCCTGATAAATCTGGAGGAGATCCCAGACGGCGAGGCTGCTGGAGGGGGCACCTTCAGAGGAGCCTTCACAGGGGGAAACGATAAAGGTAATACGATCTTTATTTGTTTTGTATTTGCTGGTGAATGCTGTGACACAAATAAGTGTCAGTAAGCCGTCCCCTGTTTTAGCTGAAGTGAAACTTTCCTCTCTCCTTCTCTTCTCTCCATCTTCTAGTGAAGAATTGTTTCCGCGTGAGCAGCAGAGGGCGCGCCAAAGCTCACTCGTACAGCCTGCAGGCCAACGACTCCTTCAGCAAGCAGCAGTGGATCACCTGTCTGCGCCAAGCCATCGTCCAGTCACGTGACAGGACAGCCCACACCAGCCAGTCACAGCTGTCCCCTCACCACGATCCCGCCCTGTATCACATAGCCGAGCTCAGCCTCAGCTCGGACACAGAAATGGCGGACCACACCAGCCGCTGACTGTCAGACTGAGCAGCACGTGTACATTGACTGTCTGCGAATGATGAATGTGTTTAGATATTTTCAACGATATTAATGTTCTTGTTTTATTTTTTCTGTCTGCAACTGCAGTGATCGCTGTATGAAGTGAGAACAGAACTGAATGTGAATTTACCAAAGAAAAAATTTGTTTTTGAGTTTGTATAATTAATAAACTGACACGTAAAAGATTGTTGAGGCACTCGTGGGAAAGTACACAAAGACCAGTCTAAGTATAGCCAACAAGATCTACAGAGAAAGATTAGAGCTGATTATCCTCCATCCCTCCCTCACACTCTCCCTCCTCTCACTGACGCCGGTGACAGGACAGAGGTAGACTTTCAGCTCGAGCCAACAGCCACACGCTGAAACAGTAGACGTCCCCTTATGCATTTTTAACAGCTCAGCAGATGATGGGAACAGTTGGGTTGGGACAGTTTGTCCACAGATAGAGTGACCGAGTGATCAGGTGAGTCCGCTCTGTTTGTTAGTCCTGCTACGTTTGACCGCCATCGTTTGCAAATTTACTTTGTTTGCAAATAAAGTGTTTACTGGTTACCTCCAAAAGTCAGTAACGTTTGCGTTGCTTAGATCTCCGGAGATCCTCGTGTGTGTGACTGCTATGTTATTGATTACATAACCACGTGTTTTAATGTGTTGAGCTGAATCCAGCTCGAGTGATGTTTCCAAAAATGCTTTTAAAATGTGTAAAAACAAACATGTTCGTGTGTGGATGCAAACTTTCTGTGCTCTCCTGTGCGCCGTAGTAACGAGGCAGTTGTGTAATGGATCAACTTCTATTTAAGAGACGGGTGTAGCTTCAGAGACATTCACAGAGTTCTTTTTTTCTTCCCTTCAGCTGTAAATGTCATTTTTCTGAAAAGGAAAAAGTTCTCCATCATACTTCACTCACCAAAGAGGTGGATTACTTGTGAGACAGATTAGGCCTGTGTGAGACCACCGCGTCCGGCTCACCTCTGAGTCTGAATGTCAAATAAATTAGGAAGAACAACTTTCCCCATCTCAGGCGCAAACCATCTGGCTAGGATTTCTTTGGGAAGACCACCTTTCTATCTCAGGACCCATCCTGTCAGCGACTTTAGCCGCTTACTCGTATAAAGGATGCCTGGAGCCAGCAGCGTCAGTGGGGAGGGCTCCTGTGAAGCTCTGTGTCGGACCCTGGTGTCTCAGAACGGCCTCCAGAGAGAGACGACCGACATCTCCCAGTCCGTCCTCTACACATCGCTGATGGGCCTGCTGCTGGTCGCTGACAATGAGGTGTGGACAACAGGAAAAATATGCTTTAATATATCCTCAAACATTCAAGTTTTAAAAGCTCTTAAAGTGAAATTTAACCTGAGAAAAATACAAGCACAGACAAAGAAAGGTGTGAAGTTGTTAAAGGAGAGTACACACCAACACATGTTTAAACACCTGTCAGCCCTCGTGGTCTCTAATAGGATGAACTCTCCAGGCTGACCTCCTTTTAGTCTCTCTGCTATGCTAATGAGATAAGAAAGCTAAATCTGTCCTGCCAAAGTTAAACACACACTGACATGGGGGGGTCAAGGCAG